GTTTAAGACATACAAGGATTGCATTCAAAAGCAAACACCCCCTGTTCTGCTGCGAATTATGCATTATATACAGATCAATAAAATCTTCATAACTCCAAAAAGAAAACAAAGAAAAAAAATTCTTCTTGGTTTGGAATAGAATATATATATAATTGCCTTATAATGCCACGGTAATCCTGACATAAATTTAATGAATATGATAAATGTTGAAATATTTAAAGGAAACAGAGAAAATATTTTAATTACAATGCAAGGTTACATTTACATATTTATGGAAGCCCGTTTACGCCACTCTGTAAAAATAAAAATAAAAAATCTCATTACAATGAGATAGTAGCTAAATGTAATGAGATAGTAGCTCAATATATTGAGATAATATCTCATTATGATTAGATAACTTGAGTTGGTCCTATAGCTTGAGATATGCTCAACTTGATAGAGAGAAATGGATATTGATGATAGAAATGAGCAATACTTCAGAGGTGGTTTTACTAATCTTGAAATCTTGCGGGTTTGGGAGAAACCCATAATATTAAATTAAGTCTCCGGACGCTGGAGGGAAGATTGCAAAAGAAGCGCCTTTGGCTTAGAAAAAATAAGACAGATGTCGCAGAAGTGGCCTCTTTTATTAAAGCTACAGTGTGTAATAATTACAGGGATATACAGTCAGAAATGTAATATATTATACATAACTATGTTATTTATCATCATCTACGAGTTCAGCCTCTTAACCTTAATATTTGCGTTGCCTTAGAATTCGTTATTTATAATTACATAGGAGCGGGTCTCGCAGCCATGGAGGCAGACATCTTTGCGCTACGGCAGCGCAGAGCCAACAAACTAGCGATTGCGAGATTGCCCATTACAATAACATGCTGCGTGATGATGCTGTTACTCTCCAGTATACTTATTCAGCAACGTCCCTGACGTTTCACAGGTAATGATTCAGTAATTTTCTGTAAAATAATTTTCTGGATATATACCTCTGTTACTTCTCTCCGGGTCCTTTGGAGATCTTCAAGCCTTACCTCCTCTGCTCTAGTCACCCTGCTGGCACCTCTCCCTCGCCTGGCCCTGGCTGCACGCCCACCCCGGCCTCTCTGCCCTCTTCCTCGCCCTCTTCTTCTCCCTCTTCCTCGCTTTGTAACCCCCGTGCCACAAACAAGACTTGGACTCTGTAAACGGGGAATATATATTCTTCCAGCGAACACAATCTCGCTGTTAAATTAATGACTACAATTACTTCGTCTGTTTATATCACCATGCAAAGCAGCTCACCAAAACGTCCCAACGATGTAGAAAAAATAACGGGTATATTTATTATCTTAAGTCTACATAAAATCTATACCCTACACAGACTAATGAAATACTATCTGTAAAATTATCTATGTAAACAAACCTCATCACTTGAGAAGGTAGGTGAGGCAGACGTCGTGGAAGACATTTTGTCCCGTAACGCTCGCTGTACTGTTGGGAGGGGGAAGCGGTGGGGGGGAGATGTTCATGTTGCTGCGGTCTGCAGTCTGGACGTTAGATGTCGCTGAAAATTACACACTGTAGCTTTAAGCAACAACTACATGGATCTGGGAGACAGCATGGCTACAGGTGGATGCACCAGAAATGTTGGATGGCTGTCATAGTCACAGACAGGGAAACCGTACATCTTTTGTTGCACCTATTGGATCCCCACGGGGTGGACCTGCATGCACAAAATCGCTTGAGATGACGTTTAGATGTCAGTCGGGGACCAAACTATGTTTAGCACATGGATGGGTACGACAAATTAAAGCCTTATGGGATATGTATTAATGGATGCATAGATGGCTTTTCGAGGAAAATGATCTGGCTAGAAGCATACAAGACTAATAGTTACCCTCACATTATTGCTGGCTATTTTATTGATGTTGTGATGGAGTACAATGGATTTCCACAAAAGATACGAATGGATCATGGCACAGAGACAATTGTGTGGCAGCAGCGATGCAAAGATTTATGCACAACACCGAGAATGAAAATGGTTTTGAATCTGCTATTCTCGGTCCGAAAGGATATCAAAGGATAGAACAATGGTGGTGCACTGTAAGAAGTGAATGTGCCCAGTTTTGGATGGACCATTTCGACCAGCTTAAAGCCGATGGCTATTTTGTTGACAGCTTTCTGGACAAATCACTGATCCAGTTTTGCTTCCTACAAACAATACAGGTACTATAAGTTTATTTCTTGCCTTCAGAACCCAAATTTGAAATAAAAAACAAATAATACAAAAGCATTACTTTTTTTCTAACAACCCTAACCCTTCACTTATGCACTGAACTCATGACTGAGCACAGACTGGCAATGACAAATGATGTGTATGAAATTATTAAGATCTATCTATCTATCTATCTATCTATCTATCTATCTATCTATCTATCTATCTATCTATCTATCTATCTATCTATCTATCTATCTATCTATCTATCTATCTATCTATCTATCTATCTATCTATAGATATTTATATATATATATACATTTGAGGACCCAAGTTGCTATTAGTTTATTTTATATAAAGGAGAAGTCCAGTCAGCAAGGAATACTCAATGGATCATTATCTATAGCTAAAACGAATATGTTCTTGCTGATTTTATGACTTTAGCGTTAATCAGTAAAAAAATAAAAACAACAATTTTTGTCACAATCACTGAGTCTGGGAGTGGCCATTTTTGCCACTTTACAAGCAAAATCAATGGGAGCTACTAGACACCCTTACAATCAACAATTATTACGAGAGGACTTCACCAATGAAATTTGCGAGAGCTACAAACAAACTGACAATGCCTACATGCATGGCAGTTGGATTTTGTAATACATCGGGTAAAAGTGAAAAAAAATTTGTTATTTCACCTTTCGAATTCATGATCCACCAGTTTGTCGTTGGATTGCCAACTTGAAGAGGGAGGATTTGCCATCAAACTTCTGGCCAGAGGAAAAAAAACCTTAGCTATATGTAGCCAACATTTCGAAGAAGAATGATTTCAAGATGACTTGGATAATAGTGCGTTGTGGCAAACACCAGATCCAGCACTGGGACTTTGGTCTCATAATTTTAAGACATCATCTGCATAGCTGCAGAAATGCTGACCTGTGAAGTCCTGGGGTTTGTTTCTAGACAAAAAATAGTTTTAAGGGAGTAAAACTTTTTATTAAAATGGGTTTTATAGAACGTAATCACAACTACATTCTGTCCGACGTGGCCTGAATAATACAGCACTGGGACTTGATCAACAGCCGATGCCGCACTGTGACGTCGCAAACCGGTAGGTGGCAGTAGTGTTCTTTGACAAACATGGACGTCTCTGGTAAAGAACATTCAAATGAAAATTACTCATTATTAAAAACTTCAGAATTTATTGAACAGAATGTAATAATTTTACATTTAAAGTACTTTCAGAAGTTTGAATTCTGAATATGACCAGACTTAAAGCTACAGTCTGTAATAATTACAGGGATATACAGTCAGAAATGTAATATATTATACATAACTATGTTATTTATCATGATCTACGAGCTCAGCCTCTTAACCTCAATATTTGCGTTGCCTTAGAATTTGTTATTTATAATTACATAGGAGTGGGTCTCACAGCCATGGAGGCAGACATCTTTGCGCTACGGCAGCGCAGAGCCAACAAATTAGCGATTGCGAGATCGCCCATTATGCTCGAAAGTAACTACGGCAAGTTGAGAGAGATGAACTGAGACGGTACTGAAATCTATACCCTTCACAGACTAATGAAATACTATCTGTAAAATTATCTGTGTAAACAAACCTCATCACTTGAGAAGGTAGGTGATGCGGACGTCGTGGAAGACATTTTGTCCCGTAACGCTCGCCGTACTGTTGGGGGGGAGAAGCGGTGGGGGGAGATGTTCATGTTGCTGCGTCTGCAGTCTGGACATTAGATGTCGCTGAAAATTACACACTGTAGCTTTAATGTGGCTGATGTTTATCAGCAGAACAAAGCACTAAAAGATATCTGTCTAACTATCTTTAATTATAAATATCAGTGTATTTTGGTTCTTTTGCATTCTGACAAAAGGAAAGCATTAAATTAATATATATTTGGGCTCATTTTTGGAAAATACAAAAACCAAATTTAAGTGTTCAAATCACGTTACCGTAGGTCCATCAGCCACCACCCTTAAATAGTGCCCCTACCAACTTTCATCCCAAAGTTACACCCTTGAATTCTCTCATTACCTCATCTCTTTATTTGCATTGCCTACCAGCTGAAAGTAAATCCCTAAGCATTAAAACTGTTAACCTTTTTTTTTAAATATATTTTTTCTCAGCTCACCCATGGTCAGAGTTACTTATATCTGTACAATTAATGTACAACAACTGCCAAAAAATAATTAAAAATGTTAATAAAGAGCATCTCCTATCATATTTCTTACCCATAGCTCGGTACCCCTTTACTGCTCTTTCTGTGCTTCCCTCTATCTCTTTGCTGTCATCACTGATTCTAAGGAGGCATTTTCCATCTAGAGAACTTCTTGTGATATTGTGTCACGATTGTGTAGGAGGCTTATGTGAGGACTCAAATGCAGAGGCAGGGAGGCTGAGGAGAGTTCTTGCCGATTTAATGGGATAACACAGGTAGCAAAAACAGGAATCCAAAAATCCAACTTAAAATTGTTAAACAAAACAGGTATCCTAAAATATATATACTGTATATATATATATATATATATATATATATATATATATATATATATATATATATATATATATATATATATATATATATTGCTGTCGAAAAAGGTGATTTCCAGGGTACTATAATAATTATTTATGGACACTGAAACCTTTCTGAGACATAAAAGGCTTTACATAATGAACTGGAATAAGAAATTCAAATGAACCAGATACCATGAGCAGCTTAATGCTCCAGTGCTCTGGGAGAGTTTATAGTCCTGAGAGTTGAACTCTGGATGACTGACAGCTGTCCTTCATGACAACAGAAGACACAGAAATCCTCCTCATCAAAAACATGACTTTGATCTGCGTCCTCATCTGGACTCTCCTCTGCTGCTGCTTCACAGGTACAGTCCAGAGAATCAAACTTCTTTCCTCTATGATCATCTGTCCCTCTGAAATGAAGCAGACAAACCATGAAGCTGCTTTATGTTTTTGTCTCTGTGTCCTCAGAGTCCAGAGGTCAGGTCACTGTGACTCAGCCTGCAGCAGTGAGAGCTGATCTGGGAGGATCTGTTACCATCAACTGTAGAACCAGTCAGAATGTTTATTATAGCAGTAGCACCCCTTACCATTGTTTAGCTTGGTTTCAGCAGAAAGATGGAAAATCTCCTAAGCGTCTCATTTATTATGCTAGCTTTAGAGACTCCTGGACTCCAAGTCGTTTTACAGGCAGTGGATCACACACTGACTTCACTCTGACTATCAGTGGAGTTCAGGCTGAAGATTCTGCAGTTTACTACTGTCAGAGTTACCATTACATCAACAGTCAGCATCTGTTCACACAGTAAAAAACATTTGTACAAAAACCTCCTTCAATCAGACTGAACAGAAACTCCTGCTGAGTGTCACAACAGTCTCTGACACAGATCATTAAACACAGAATAAAAATTTTGTCCCAGAGGGACCTGACCCCGGAGGCCATAGTGCGGAGGTTCCACGTGGCTATGGTATCAAACCCATGGGATCAGCTGGCGGCAAGCCGCGCCCAAGGTGGATCTGGATGAGAGCCCCATAGTCCAAGGTCCCTGGTGGACCACCCCCAAGTGGGAACTACACCAGGCCTGATGCCCCAGGCCCGGCCTGGCAGCCACCAGGAATGAGACAGCGGCCACTGAAGTACCCAACCCTGTACCTAGAGAACCATCAGTGTGCCATAAGACATAGCCACCTGTCACTTGAGCGAAGTAGAAAAAGGAAGAGAAGGGTGATCTTGCTCATACTTGGGGCCTTGGATTTTCAGAATATCTCTGGAAGATGTTTGAGTGTGAAGGGGGGATTTTATTGGTGATGGCAAAGTTCAAATAAGTCAGTCAGAGTATTTCCATAGAGCAAATTTGCATCAGCATCTCCATGCTCCAGTGCTCTGGGAGAGTTTATAGTCCTGAGAGTTGAACACTGGATGACTGACAGCTGTCCTTCATGACAACAGAAGAGACAGAAATCCTCTTTATCTAAAACATGACTTTGATCTGCGTCCTCATCTGGAGTCTCCTCTGCTGCTGCTTCACAGGTAAAGTCCAGAGAATCAAACTCCTCTCCTCTATGAACATCTGTCCCTCTGAAATAAAGCAGAATAACCATGATGCTGCTTTATGTTTTTGTCTCTGTGTCCTCAGAGTCCAGAGGTCAGGTCACAGTGACTCAGCCTGGAGCAGTGAGAGCTGATCTGGGAGGATCTGTCAGCATCAACTGTAGGATTAGTCAGAATGTTTATGTTCATCTTGGCAGCCATTGTTTAACCTGGTATCAACAGAAAGGTGACCAAACTCCTAAGTTGTTCCTTTATGGTGCTAGCGCTCGAGCATCTAGGACTCCAAGTCATTTTACAGGCAGTGGATCACACTCTGGCTTCACTCTGACCATTAGGGGAGTTGAGGCTGAAGATTCTGCAGTTTACTACTGTCAGAGTTTTCATGTCATCAATAATCAGTGGATCTTCACACAGTGAAAAACAGTTGTACAAAAACCTCCTTCAGTCAGACAGACCAGAAACTCCAGCTGAATGTCAACGCAGAGACTGAGACGCAGCTCACCAAACACACAACAAACACTCTCTGTGTTTGATGTTATATATAGAATTTGCCCTTTAGTGAAATTAAAACACATTTCTGTACATTTAGGTACAGATGGAAGAACACCATCTTAACAACCCAATAATGATTTAGCTCACTTGGCTTAGCACATATCCTATTTTCTGACTTGGATTATTTCAGTCATAAAATTCTTTTGGTTTCACCCTCAACTATAATTTTGAAATGAAAAGAACGAGATTCTGGATACAAGCGTCTTATATGAGCTTTTCTGCAGTGTGGCTGAGTGTCATGGTCTGTTATTTTGTTTTCTTGTTTTATGCTTTCCAGTTACTGTTTGATTTATATTACTCTGTATTTCTGTATTTTCAATGTGGTTACAGTCTTTTGGTTTGGATTTAGCTCTATTAAGATTTTTACTTTGTTCCTTTCAGTTACTTTTAGTTCTAATGCATTGAGACTAGGGATGCGCGATTTTGCCTTTTTTGCCGATATTCAATATGCCGATACTCCAAATACTGAATTTTCGATTCTGAACTAATTTCACATCATGCCAGTCACAAAATTTAAGCATACTCTACATTTACTGTGATGCCCCACTACACACTGTATATTCCACAAATAATTACCATTGAAGAGGATAAAAACAGCATTTCATCTTCAGGAAAATGCAAAATTTAACATTTATTTTCAGCACTGTTTCAAAAGACATTTTGGAATATGCTTATCCTGAGATTAACCTGACAATATTTAAACAAGAGATAAATCTCTTTTCTTCCAGTGTAGGATCGCTTTTGAGGGACGAAGTCTTGGTTCCCCCACCCGTGACAAGGACCTCACATTCGTTGCAAATCGCAAACTTTAAGTCATCATTTGAAACTTTAAAAAAGTTCCACAACGCAGACAGTTTTCGTTACAAACGCTTTTGCTTCGCACCTGCAACATTTTGCCGTCTAGCGCGATTTAATGACGTCATCAGGGAGCGTCACGTGTTGGCAAGAGCGCTCGCTTTAACACATTTCGCACAATCTAGGCATTATGTTATCGGCTTTTAATTATCGGTGGGAAACCCCATAAGGATATAGACTTTTATCACATAATTATGCTAATATCGGCCGATAATATCGGACATCTCTAATTGAGACCTTATGTTATTCTGTTTGCATTGTTTAGAATTATATTTTTAACTTTTCCTTTGTTTTTCAATTATATTTTGTTCATCACTCCCTGTTGTATGGATTAATATTTTTTCTAGCCTTTTCTTTAGTGATCACAGTCATTTTTAGATTGTTTAAAATAATTTGGAGTCCTTGATGCTCAAGCACTAGAGCCATAAAGGAACAGTTTGTCCACCTTTCTGTTAATACCAGGTTAAAGGAGCTGCTGATGCAAAGTGGATTTATTTAAAAGTTTAAATGAAGATGCAGTATTAACTAAAGACCATCACATACATCTTGCTTCCTGTTGAAGTCAATCAGATTATTTCCATAGATCCACTTTGCATTAGCAGCTCCATGCTCCAGCGCTCTGGGAGAGTTTATAGTCCTGAGAGTTGAACTCTGGATGATTGACATCTGTCCTTCATGCCAACAGCAGACAGAAATACTCTCCATCAAAAACATGTCTTTGATCTGCATCCTTATTTGGACTCTCCTCAGCTGCTGCTTCACGGGTAAAGTCCAGAGAATCAAACTCCTCTCCTCTATGAACATCTGTCCCTCTGAAATGAAGCCGACAAACCATGAAGCTGCTTTATGTTTTTGTCTCTGTGTCCTCAGAGTCCAGAGGTCAGGTCACAGTGACTCAACCTGCAGCAGTGAGAGCTGAACTTGGAGGATCTGTCACCATTAGATGTAGGACCAGTCAGAATGTTCATGTTTACAACAGCAACCGGTATTTGGCCTGGTATCAGCAGAAAGATGGACAAACTCCAAAGCTGCTCGATTATATTGTTAGCTCTCGAGCATCAGGGATTCCAAGTCATTTTACAGGCAGTGGTTCAAACTCTGACTTCACTCTGACCATCAGTGGAGTTCAGGCTGAAGATGCTGCAGTTTATTACTGTCAGAGTACGCATGTTATCAGCAACCAAGTTGTATTCACACAGTAAAAAGCAGTCATACAAAAACCTCCCTCAGTCTGACTGATTTGAAACTAAACACAGCTGCAGAGGCTTTTAGATCAAAAAAGAAATTTCTATTCTTAAAATTCTACCAAGTCTCCATCAGATTAGTCAGGTAGCATACAAAGGAAAAACTGTTTTTCATGGTGTCTTAACAAACCGTGAAATAGATTATGGAAGAAGATGTTTTTATCAGGTTTTCCAAAAAACACTACAAACTATTTAGGGAAGTGGTAGTACTTCTGGTAGCTAAAATTTTAAAATAAGGTAAAGTACGTACACTGCAACACATTTAGTCCAAAATTTGAGCATTGCATTCAGAAATTATCCTTGAAATAGTTCTGAAGACGTTTTCATAAATTAAATGACACGAACAAACTCTGCTGTTGAGTAGTTCCCACAATTTCTCTCCGTTCTCCTGGCTGCGTTGCTTATGTGATTCTGCCTGATGAAGATGAACATCTTAATGAACAAGCATAGATAACTCTACTTTGCTCCACCTTCCAGGACAGATTTTGTATCTTGCCAACAAGCCCTTTCCCTGCTGCAGATCCTCACTGCCATGGTGGTATAAGCATCACCAAGGAGACACTAATCGGGTTACAAAACAGAAATCAAGAAATAATATATATAAATGCCACCAGGAAAGTTTCACTTTGATGGTTATTTTCCTAGTAATAAAAAGTAATAAAATGCTTCTCCTGGATGATTTTCTGCTACAAAGATACCAAGACACATTGCTTCACTTCCCTTTAAAAAGTCTCTCCTCCTTATCAGCACTGAAAAACTATAATTCATCTTTGACTGAATAAAAAAATCCATGAAAAATCAGCCAAATATGCATCTTACAAAAATGTAACAAGTTAACTGAAGTGAAAATTTTGTTGTACCTCATCAGTTTTTAGAAATTCCTTGTCATGCATGAAAATATGTTAAACTGATCAGCTTTAGAAAAGGCCTAGACAGCCTCTGATCAACAATAAACTCTTAACAGCTGGGACCAGAGAGGAAGGAGAGATATGCAATACACAAGGAGCTGAACGGGCAGCATGTTTCCACATGAACTGAAATCAGAAAGCTGAATGGACAAAGTTTTAAAGGGCGGTTGAAAATATTTTACTTATTTTGTCTAAGGGGATCTAGTAGTTGTACATTTTTGGCTTTTTGTAAACTTTTTAAAATGATACAGGCTCAGTGTGATCAGCCATCTGCTGAGGCCAGCTAGGGTTCAAGAAGACACAAGCAGAGATACAAAAGGCAACTGTAAAAGGCGGTCCCAACCAGGAAACAGGCAGACGAGCTCTGAGCTCGTCTGCCTGTTTGATGGCAGCAGCCCAGTTGATATTTCTCTCCAGCATGGAGTCACAGCCAAAAAGGAACAGAGGAGGCGAAGCTACTATGAGAAAAAGCAGAGAGAGCAGAACGTTAGAGAGTGAAATAACAGATTCTGCAGAGTGGGAGAATAGAGATAGAATGAATCAGAATGATAAAATAGGGGTCATTCAGGATAATAATTTTTTACTTTGTGTATTATATTAGTAGATTTATGATGGTATTATCTTAGTGTTTATACTAAATGAAAGAAACTTCTTGACTTGATGTGGATGTTAGATTATTGTTTTTTTTTAACAGATGC